CTGCCAGGCTGTGCCAGACACCGGCTGCCGAGCCCGCTGGGGATGCGGTGCTGGAGCAAAAAAGCAGAAGGAAACCAAAAATAAAGAAAGGGCCACTAGGGCTGGAAACAGAGTCCATAGAGAAACAAATAGTCAGGGCAATGGGTTAGGGGTGATGTGGAGAAAGGGGAAAAGAAGGTAAGACCTGGAAATACTGCTTTGCACTTTGCTTTCTCCCATTGCAGGCTCCCCTGCCATTCAATGCATTTTCCTATAAACTACCATGCTTTTCACACCTCAGAGTTGTTCCTACAGCAGCCTTCTCTCTCCTCTTGGATTGCATTTCCCTACCAAGATTCCCCAAACCTTTTGCTTCCTCCAAATTGCATTTTGCTTCCCAGTCTCTACTCTGAAGCAGCATCAAGGGGGAGAAAACTTCCTCCTGTTCCCGAATGTTTTCAGTGACTGAAAACACCACACATGGAGCTACGGAGGGAGAGGAAAAAAAAAGTCAAACACCAGCAAAACACCAGCTTTGTCAGAACTGTCTTTTCTCAAAACACAGCAGGATGTTTCCTGAAGAAAACTATCCCCCACGCACCTCAGTTCATATAGCAAGCTATCAGTTCACTGGACTGCTGTCCAAACAGGGGTCTCCCAGGGAGCAAAACATGTTCTGGAAACACAGATACTCCCTGGAAAACACAAGAGAACTTGAATGGGCAGCAAGGGAATAATCCTAATACACTTTCATTACATCTTCTGACAAAAACTACAAATTATTCATACCAAAATGTATTTGCAATGAACTAAAAAAGCACCCAATCTCAGAGCATCAACACAATATGCTCTCATTCCCTCTTCTGAGTTTTATCCCTGCTTAGAGCCGGTGCCCCGCTGATGTACATCCACACCAGGCTCACAGCCTCCTCCCGCAGCAGAAGCGCTGCCCTGGAACACTGCCTGCTCCCAGAGGCATTAGGATAATCTCATTTAAGGCACAGACTTCCGTGGCCAGGATCCACACCAGAAAAGAATTTATGTAGAAAAGCAGAGCCAGCACCAGGCATTCTGTCACCCTGAAAAGGCAAGGATGTCCTGTTCTGACAGCAGCTGCCTGCAGCTACCTCCTCCCTGCCTTTCAAGTTGCCATGCCCATAATGGCAGTAGCAAAAAATCTCTGGCACATCTGAGTTAGAGGTGAAGGCACAACCATGCATCCTGCTCTCTGCTGGCCCAGCTGCCCATCTCCAGCACAGAGGGGGAATACCTTGCTGGGCGGGACCACCACCAGTAGGCAGGCTCAGTTTCAAGAGGTTTGTTTCTAAGCATCTCTGTCCTTTGCCTGCTCTCCTTACTGAGGCAGCAGAAGATGGGACATGCGCTTCTTACATAGGCCCTAGTTCACTTCTGGCATGTAATAAACCAAACTGAACAAGCACCAAGACATCAAATTGTAAATTGAGGCAGCTGAGCAGAGGCACCTTTTTGTACTCCTAACAAACCTCTGTACTGGAAGCAGCCCAACAGATAGAGAAAACCAAACTCTTACGAAGCAACAACAGAATCAAAGCAATGCAGACCAGAGAGCATAAAAATTACAGCTCAACAGCTAGGGTGCAATCATACTTCTCTATCCACACCACACAATAGATCCAGAATGGGCATAATAGAATGGGGGCCAAATTGCAAGAGACACATACTTCACCCCCAATGTTATTTTCTCATTAATATATAATACTTCAGTTCTGCTTAAAAAGCTCATTTTGTGTGTTTATGTGATACAAGATAATTTGATTATCTATTCTAGTCTAAAGTAACTTCCCCTGAAATACGGTTCCATGTCATGCTCTACCTCTTGATTAAACGTTTGGTCAGTGAGGAACTCAATGCACAGCATTGCTGAGTATGCTGCATGAGCAGTCTGGTTAAAAAGTAATTACAGGGGAGTTTTTATCATTTCAGTTTCAAAAAAACCCTGAAAGAATCTCAAAGTCAGGAGTTGTAGTATTGCACGAGATTGTTGGCTAGGTCTGTTCATCCCGCCCAGTGCAAAATAAGGCATCTCTCCAGCAACCACGTTCTTCTGGCTGTGCAATCCTGGTAGCCCACTCCTTCCCGCTCCCCCCGGCCTGCTCATGCTCCACATGAGACACAGTTATTCCACAGGGTGTTTCCTCTTCCCCTGTACTGGATGTTATGCTTTGCTCTCCAAGGAGACAACTTTTCATCAGATCCTGGATGAACTAATCGTTTCCTGCTGGAAAGGATACATTTACTCTCCCCCCTCCCCCCCAGTCTAGGCTGGCAGTGACTGAAAGAGGTAGTTCTCGAAGCCCATCCTCTGGCCCCTCGCTGGAGAAGAGAGCGCGTCAGTCACAGGCAGAAGTCAGGACAAACAAAGGGCTGTTTGTACAGCATCTCCCATCAGCCCTCCCTCTCCTCATCCCCGCTAGCTCTTGCTCTTTCTGGGTACATCTGAGGAGACACAGCTGCCAGGAAAGTGAAAGGGAGCGAAGCAGAAGAGAAAGGTACGTCTTGCTCCTGAAATTATCCTTGTGCGCTTGCTCTACTGATGCTAGTTACAGAGCACAGAAATAGAAATATATATGGGAACATGCAGGAGAAGATTGGGGAGATGCAGATACATAGTAGGCAAAAGATGCTATTCAAGACAGATGCATGGATACGATCCAGCTGAAGAGAATTCTTTCACCGTCTTGCTCTTCTTCAAAGTTGGATGCTACATATTAACATCTGAAGTCATTAAACATACTATATTGCCTTCCAGTACTCATATTGGTGAATATGGCGAGAGGTGTGTTCACAATGAATTGCTGTCTTTAAGAAAACTAAATTGGTCTTAATGAGAACTCAGTTTCTGGAAAGAATCATGGTATTGATGGTAATTACAAAGCAGTAATTCACTGCATTCATCCTCCGTGGACTAGCTGTTGTCCTCACAATGCACCAACTGTTCAAGCAAAACAGATTTGAAGGGTTTTTTTTTAAAATGGAAAAAAACAACTTCATAATAATATCAGTTATGCAGCTCTTGTGTAATGATTTCTTAGGCATGCACTAATAAACCTAAGTATTACGCACTAACACACCTCAATATTAAATGCTTAGCTCAGCATTTTACAGGTGTTTCTGAAATGGAAACTTGACAAACAAATAAACACTAAAAGACATTTTATTTTGAATAGGCATTTTTAGCCCTTGAACTCAATGCACGTTAAGCAGCAAATATATATTCAGTTTGCTTCACTTTAAGTGCAACTTGTTAACCCAGCACTTGCCACTGGGACAGAGGGGAAAAGATCCTACACCAAAAGCATACCGATTAACGTATCGCTTGTCTTCAACACTAGGCAACTGGACACACAGACCACTTAATAACTCTGAAGAATATATTTAATAGTTGATAGACCAAATTGTAAAAGTTATGTTTTCCCAAACATGCAGGATCCCTAGAGGTGCTTAAATACACATTTTGTGCCATTTCTCAGATTTCCCTGATTTCTATTCCCTATTTCTAACACCTGAGCTCCTACTAATACCACGCAACCTTTAAAGGGCATCACTTCTCATGAAGCAGTACCCTGTTGTTCTTGGCCAAGGAGGCTGAAATGTGGGTTTTTCTCTTTGGTCTCTTCTACCTCCGCACCTAGCAGATCCAAAGACTATACAGTGCCAAACTGCCTGGCAGGATAACGCAGACGTTCTCAGAGAACAGGGATAGCACCGATGCCTGAATCACTGTGCATATTCCCAAACTGACCATTTTCCTTTACAAAAAACTCCAAAATTATTTCCAAGCACTTATTATCCCAGCTGCACTTGTTCTCAAACTTCACTTACACTGTGCCAAAGTAACCAGAGTAATTCATTGAAAAGAACTTATGCAAATGCAGGGAGCTCATTTTAAATATTTTTAGACTGCTTTACTCCTGCTAGAATTTGAAACTATATAATCTTGATAGAGCAACCTGGTCAGGATTAGCAAGATTGGCATTGCTACTTTTTCAGAAGGTTTTATAAAATAAAGAGGTGAAAGAGGGTACTTGCTTGCAATGAGTCTTTGAGTCACCTTAGTGATTGGATTTGTTCATCACATTTCCCTGATTTGTTTTATGAGAAAAGAACATTTCCGTGGTATGCAAAAGCAGGTAAGCTCTTTGACATGTATTTTGAAATACATATGCACATACTAGCTCTGTTCCTTACCTAGGCAATCCGTGACATTCCATCATCTGTGCAACCATATTCAGGAAAATAAATTGCAGCAGGTTGTCAGAAAAAGATGCTGCATCTGAAAGGTCTGATGAGTTTATCAGCAGCGATCCCGTGCAGGGAGCTGATGAAACACTTCAGGTCCTTGGCAGTCGTTCTTCTGCAAACAGGGACCTTTCTCTCACAGGAAGAGTAACCTTTTGAAGAAAGGTCTTTTGCCTGAAAGTTTTCTTTTGGTTATGATCTGCAAACAAAACCCCCCAAGACAGAGGAAATATTTAAGCAGAAATAAAACTGTAATAACAAACACAATGTTTTTTTCTGAATAACAACATTAGTAAGATGCATAACTGACCTGATAGTGAAGCTGTCTACCTGTAGATTACCATCGCCTTTGCCAATACTGATTTTGGCCATTATCCATACAAGCCCTCTCAATAATGCACTATAGCAATACCCTGTTCTATTCCAAGGCAAGTAGTGAGTTGCCTTAAACCGTAGGTTGAGATTTTTGAATCCAGCAATTTGACAGTCTACAGAAAATCCGCTCATTTTCAGGACAGAATGAGTTCCTATGAATTTTGAGCAGACAGGAAGATGGCAACAGATTCAAATGAGCATTCCAGCTGAACCCCAGGCAGGGAAAGATCTCCAAAATTATTAGGAATTTTAAAAAAACCCCATACGCAAGAGCAAGATGTGATGAATGCCTCATGCTCAGGGGAAGAACTCACAGAATAATCCAATCACAGGAAACAAAGGCATAAACCCCCTGCTTCCTAAATTTCTCTTTCATTGAAATTTTCTTCCATTAAAGACTTAAATAATTAAGCTCAATTATTTGAACCAAAGAATTAAATTGTGCTCCTTGACATTGCCATTTATCAAGGTATAGTATAAACAAACTTGTTCTCTTTAAGCATTAGTCTTCTCTGAGCAGAGCCCTCATAACTGCAGTGTTTATAATCCTACAAAATAAAACCATCATTATAATAATACAAATTCTTTACTCAAGTCTAAAAAACACCACCAGGCAAAGTTAGAACAATGTTTACTTTACTTGAGAAGTAGTTTTGAGGTCTAAAACTAATAAAGACAGTATGTTATTCAATACTGCACTCTAAGGTAATTAAAAAATAGATCCCCAAGGCTCCATTACTAGTAGTTTATAGGAGTTCTCCTACTCAAAAAGTTCACACAGAAGTTCATGGAAACTAAAAGCAATCATTCGATAAACTTTGCTTCTATGACAAAAGTTCAAAAAACCACAAGAGCTTATTTTCACTTCAGTCATGTTCTTTAATATATTGGTCGCTTTTTAGTATTTTATTTGGCTACTGGTGTTCAAAAAACAAGTTTGCACAAAATCTTCTGGAAAAATAGAATCGAAGAGCATTGAGGTGTAGTATTTTATCCCTAATATGAATGCAAACTCCCAGATTGTCTTACTGAGAGATTCTGGCATGTCATCCATTGGCAGAAATGGAAGATCAGCAAGATAGCTACGGTGGTAATGTAACTACCCAGGAAAAATGACTACAAAATACAGTAAATTCATACATTTAAGAGCTTATTGTTTCTATTTTCAAAGGCGACCTCAAGAATTTTACAAAATAACCCAAGTGAGACTGTTGTCTTCGCGACTTCTACAGCTGGCATGCCTTAGGTGTTTTTTTTTTTTTTTTTATCTAGATAATAGCTCTGCCATCTTATCTTAGCATTTGACAGTCTGATCAGACATTGCTTTATCCCCAGTTATTTTTTGGTTAGTCTCTCTATTCTGAAGCCCCTCAAGAAAGACTAGAACCAGGCCATAAATGTTGTAGTGCCAGGGGAACGACTCCGAAGTGCCAACAGGATGAAGGGCAGCAAAGCCTTCCTTGAGGCTAACACAAGTCCAGTGAGGAGCATGCTGGGCAGAGCTGACCATTGCTTTAGGTTAGTTCTCAGAGCAGAATTCCGATTTAAATTCAGTAAGGTATCAGGCCCCTTTCATTCAAGCATAAGGAAAGGTGAAAACCCCACTCTCTCTCCCAATACCAATAAAGTCTAGGCTGAAGCATTGTTCAAAATGCTAATTTAACAGCTAATGCAAGTTCAAGCGTCTTATCCGAAGCTCTGTGGCATGGTCACTCTCCATGCAAAGCAGCACAGAATAGCAGAGCCAGCATTACCCAAACTCACACAGATGATGGAAAGCCTAGTCACCAACGTCAGAGTTTTGCAAGGGATCACGTATCCTGTCTTTTAAAAAGCAGCATTAGTTAAAGCGTAATGACCTCCTGTAGCAAGACTCAGCTAAGCAGTTTGCAGTACTAAAAAACCAAAGATTAAAAAAGAGAAAGTTCTCAGCAATATTGTCTCATACCAGAGCCTGCAGTATAGGCATCACAGAGACCACCATCCAGGACAGCACCGCAGAGAGCTTCAGCCTCCTTTGCTGCTTTAATGCCTCAGTTTCTCAAGCAGTCCATGACAGAGGATTCAATCAGCAGAAAGTTTTTCCATAACTTTGATAGGGA